GAAATGCTGTACATATTCCCAAGGGATAGTAGAATGCTGGCGTATCTGAAACAAGCTTTTAGCATTTATCCATCTCCATCTCAGTAGAAGGGGCTTCTCACCCCCGCATCTTAAGCATGATAGACCAATGCCAATGACCACAGCATTGACGCAGATAAAGAGATCGAAGATTGATATCTCAGGCAAACGGTGAGGCTGGGGGCGGTGAACGGTAAGCAAGATGAGATGCACCATACTTAGCACGATGAGCGCTGCCGACAGAAGCGCATATGAGATGTTAGCATACATGTTGTAAGAAAAGGCAGCCAAGTTGGTCCATTTTGAAATGATCCGTCGCGGAGCGACGTGATGTGGTTTATAGCAGGAAGCCAGTCTCTGTGTCTCTTTGCGCCTCGAATGGGGGCTTTTTCGATGGTCGAAGGGGTATGCCATCCTCGTTTCAGCAAACGTAGATGGCAAAAACTTGTCCAGGGCCTGTACAATAGTTACGCTTGTTGTTGCATGAGAATAGGCAAGGACTCAAACTGGGCTTGTGTATCGCACTCGCCGTCCGGCATTGAGATATCCCTCCCAGGGTGATCACCGCAGTTAGTTCAATTTAGCATCGATGCTCGGTAGGGCAACATCTCTGCACAGCCGTGGCGTTTTCCAATACACAAGATGGCCAGTGCATGCACTTGCCCATGCCATCCTCATTTTGGCGAACACGGCTGAAAGACATGTGAAAGATTATCCTGACATCCTTGGAAGAGGTCGCTGGTCCTGGCACCATCGCTGTGTAGTCTCGGGGTCGCGCCACAATTTTGAGTGTCGATCAAAGGGCTTGGCTAATGGCCGCATTTAGCATTAAGTATCTTCGCCCGCCTCTTTAGAGACACGGGATCCCCAGTGTTCGACCCACGATCATGGCAAGTAAATATCGATTGGTGCCGTTTACGGCAGCGACGATGCCTACATCGCTTCTTGACAGTGCTACTACGCTGCTCCCTCGCAGCGTTCAGTTCCATCAGCGACAGCATTCTCAGTC